GCCGCCAAAACCACAAAAGTATTGAAAGATTTGGCAGAAATTGGATTTCGCGCTCATCAGGTCGAAAGAAATTACTTAATCGAGGCATATTTACGTGCGAATAAACTTGCCGAAGCGAGGGAAATATTTGATCGCATACACAGTTTAAGACCACCGTTAGGTAAAGAGTACTGTCCATTCTGCCCTGCCTTTAATATGATGATAGAAGCATATGGGAACAGAGGTGATTTAGAGGAAGCCAGAAAGCTGTACCAGTGTATGTTTGAAAAAGGTGTTAAGCCGAATGCAAAAACGCGATTGATAATAACAGCAATATTTAAGAAAAACTTATCACCAACAACGCTTGAATGGTTTCGCGGGCTGATGGAATCCAGATTAATTGATGATGGAACCGGGAAGGAAGGAATAATTGTGTTAACAGACGCGGGAAATTTAGATGGAGCCTTAGAACTGTACAACAAACTCAAGTCATTAGGTTATCAAATGGATGCACATGTATATGCTCGTTTGATTAGTCTACTCACGCGATATGGACGCTTGGTTGAAGCAATAGATTTGGTTAAAGAGCTTAAGGCGAGCGGTGTTGAGCTTGATACTGTGGCGTATAATGTTATAATAAGAGTGTATATACGATCTAACGAACCGGAACAGGCTATTAAAGTCATTGATGAGATGATAGAAGCTAAAGTATATCCAGTTCTTCGTTCATTCGTAATAATGGTTGATGCGTTTGCTAATGAAGGACAAATTAAGCCAGCATTAATAACATTGAAGAAGATGCGCGATTTAGGCGTAAAGCCAGACGTCTACTTGTACACTTGTCTGATCAAATTATTTGCTAACGTTAATGACATCGACGCAATGGAAAAGATGTTTCGCCACATGATAGAGGAAGACTTTGATCCCAATCTAATTACCTATACTATATTAATGACAGCTTATTGTCGTAATTACGATATAGAGAAAGCCATTTTGGTTTCTAACGCAATGCTGAAAGCAGGCATAATACCGGATGCCAGATTGTTTAATGCATTGATTAGCGTATGTGGCGAAAGAGCAGACTCGGATGGTGCCATGATGTTACTTGATGATATGAAAATGCGGAATATTCCTCCTGATGTTTACACGTATACATCTATCATAAAGGCATTTGTTAAAGCCACAGACATATATGGAGCCGAAAGAGTTCTACAATCTATGATCACTTCAGGAATTAAACCCGAAGCTATGACATATAACATATTACTCGATTATTTCGTGGAACAGCGAGACGTTAAGCAAGTGCGACAGATTTATGAAGAGATGTTATATGCTGACGTCCGTCCGGACATCAATACTTATGGCTGCTTAATGCAAAGCTTTTGTTCTATAGGAGACTTCAAAGCAGCCTTTGAACTTCTCACACACATGGAAAATGTAAACGTAAAACCAGATGTCCAAATTTATACGATACTTATAAACGCGTACATGCGTCGGCGTGACTTTGTTGCAGCCGAGCGAATATACGAAACAATTATTTCTAAGGGCTTCCTACCTACTTACTTTACATACGCAGTACTCATTGATGGCCATGCCAGAAAAGGGGATTTTGGCTTCGCAAGGAAGCTTCTAGACGAGCTTATTGCTCATTCCGAGTTGGAATCTCAAGCTTCTGAATTAGTAAGACACAAGGCATTTCCACAATATTTGTTTACTCCAATAATGGATGCATATGCTAAGCAAGCTCAGAGTGATGGAGCGCGTGAGATATTCGAGGAGATGGTGTTACTTGGTGTTAGACCAAACGAATATGTATATACTATACTAATGGATGGATATCGTCGTGGTGGAAATTACGAAGCGGTGTGGCAGATGTGGAAAATATTACTTGGAGAATTTGGGGATAAGTCCCTATTATCAACTAAAATTGTATTGCCAACAAGACCTGTCAAAGGCGATCCCGAAACAGCTGAGAGAAGTCGGATGGGATTTGAAAAAATTCTTCCGCAGATCGCATCGTTCTCCCCAAAGTCACGAAAGATTCCCCTTCATTCGTTATCTATACTATTGGAGACACTTACTGCAGCAGGAAGATATGACTTGATAGAGCAAGAATGGCAACGATTGCACAGTCAGGGCTTTGAATTTGATGCACATAATTATAATCACTATGCCCAGTCTCTTATTGCATCTGGAAATATCTTGAAAGCATGCGTTATTATAAAGGATCATCTTATCAAAGGGTGGGATAGTCGTTTAGCACATTGGCGACGAACAGCAACGGGTACACATTTTGAAAAGAGACAACAAAAAGCAAAATTAATCGAGCAGAGCACTTCACTTTATCCCCATAGAAAGACGCTTATGATGCTTAAGAAAGTGTTTGATCAGTTGCGTAATGGAGAATGGGATAGCTTAAATGTTGGTATAGACCAAAAACCTGGTAACGAACTTTGGACACATATTACGGAACACTACAGTGATATAGTGGCAAGCGTTGAAGAAATGAACGAGTTTACCGAGTGGGAGCGAAGAGATCAGACAATGTATGAACATACGAGAAGATCGGTATAGAGTTTCACAATAAGGAGAAGAGGAGGTAAGTTGTCATTGGGAGTGTATGTCCATAGATCTTTTGGTTAGAATTTGTACTAATCAATCCTCGAGCACAGCGGTCTAATTAAAAGTCCCAATGCTATTGGAATAGTAAAAATCATCAATATTGCTATAGCGAGTTCTCCTAGTCTACAACGTTCTCATGCACAGGCATATATTAATAATCGCACATAATTTGGCTAAGCGCGTTGCATTCTTAGAAACATGGAGGCAATAGCGTAATAATATGCGAGTCGATAAACCTCTTGACGCGACAAGTGAAATTCACCTTAAAAAATAAATAGTTGAAATTCAAGGAAGACACCAATTCCTTTTATTAACCTTTGGTTTTATGTTAATATTCTTTCTTTATATTTTATAGGCATCCAAAATGATTATCATCGTCTTAAGGTTTTCACCTTATTCCTTTTTAAACCCCATAGCGATAGTGCAAAACAATGATTTCAAACCAGTATTCTGTATGTCTTAATCTATTATGTGGATCATCAAACGCAATGGCTGCACATGGACTCCATTTGGCGTGTTTCGATGTATTTTAATCATCCTAGTACTAGCAAGTTTGTCAACTGGATAACATGCAACAGTTTACCAATGAAAGAGATAATGGTTTGGTGAAAATTACCAGATAGAGTGCAAGTATTGGTGCATGTGTGGATTCAATATGTACAGCGCCATCGAGCTGAATTTCAGAATGAGAACTTCCTGTTACGAAACGAAATATAATTTCAGTTTGATTATCTCTGAGATATTCATGTTGACAGTTTGACGGCATCACAATATTTAATTGCGTATTATACAGATTTAAACTGGACAGTACTAATAATTAAGTTAATTGCGGTTCTGCGGACAAGCTATTCTTAATCCTGAGCAGAATTGTAGTCATCCAATTATCCAAGTGTTTTCGCGCATCATATTCTTTGACTTTTTGGGTCAGAAAATCAGGATCTTGACTCTCGACGGCAGTTAAGATATCCTAGGTTTGGATAGAAGACGAGCCAGTGATTAAATCATAAAATAAATACACTGTATTTTCTCTTAATAATGATATTTGTATATCATACCTTTAAGAATGTGCATTGCATTTCTTGACTAAAACTGTAGTCCATTTCAATATATCTATTAAGGGCTCTTTGTGCGCCGATGACATCTCCATTGGCAATGTGACACAGCCCTGCCTTCAAGAAATAATCCCTCACTGACCATTTCGTCAATTGATTATCAATGCTTGCCGTAGCAACTTGCTCAAACTTCTCGATAGCCTTGTCATATTGTTCTAGTGTAGCGGCAAAGTGTGCAACTTTCACGAGGCAATTATTAGCCAGTCTATTGGAGAAGATAAAATGAAGATGTCAACGTTTCCAAAACAACATCGTGAGCGTAGAAAAAATAATAATCTTTCATGGCCATTTAAGACATTTTGCCGCATCAAAATTTCGGCTGTTGATCTTCAGATCCAACATAATATCTGCATACGTACGCTGTGGCTTCTTCGGCGGCGTACCAATCCGCAGCTAATTCATACGCCTGAATTGCCCTATCTAGATCAATCAGTTCAGATTCATATATCTGAGCAATCTCCTTCTGATGACCAGCAGCACTCTGAAACCGTCCACGATCAGTAAGAATCTCGATCGCTGACTTTAACGCCATTATAGACTCTGTTATACCACGATCAGTATTAAATAAAAACGATTTAAATGGAAATATAAATATAACAAGAGGATCAACAATAAATAGTATTACAACCTTCAGGGCATCCTTTCTTATAGCACTTTGAAGCTGCAATATAAGTCATAGCAGCTTCATCCCGTTCATTTAGTTGTATTTGCATCTGAGCTGATTTCATGAATGCGTCGCCTGCTTCTTTCCCTAATTATCCAAATTATCAACATATAAGAGAATTCACTCAAAGATTGAAACAACTTGCACTTACTGAAGCACAATAAATCAACTCTGTCCAACGTAAAATTCCGTCCTTTACCATGCCACCCTCTCTAATGCAGCAGGACCAAAGTCAACTTACATCGTTTACCCAATTTAAACGTATTGGCTGCTTTATTATACAACTCTGAAGCCTCCTCAAACTTATTTCCGCCAAACCACCCAAGAGAGGCGGCTTTCTTATCAGCTTTGGCAACGAGTGCTTGAGCTTCGTGCTCAGACATGATTACAAGTAACAATTAAGTGTGTGAGAATTCAAAATCTAGTCAGTCTCACATGGCCAGACTTCTAGAAACTGCAGTTACACACTAAATGCCCAACCAATCAAAACCATTACCACATCTCATTTCTTTCTCGTGATCAACGAGCTACACCTAATAATACCATTCTCCTAGCTGCTTCGTCGTCTGGTCACAGAAGAACGTCGCGTTCGCGTCCATTACTATTACGAGAAATTATTCAACATGGGCCGGCTAGTTCGTCTTGAACTGGAAAACTTTAAGTCTTACAAGGGCCATCAGACTATTGGGCCTTTTCTTAATTTTACTTCAGTAATAGGGCCGAACGGTGCAGGTCTGTTACACTACAACTTCTCTACAATTGAAGGGATCCAGAAAAATAAGGGACAAAGCAGTGTTATACAAAAAAGAAGGCATTTAAATTACTGTCTAACTGGCTTAGAAAACAAATAAAGTGCTTGCAAATATAAATACCGAGATACATGCTACGTCCGGCATCAGTAATCATTGTAAATGATTTTTTTTTGGCTTTTCATTGTCACATATCCAGGCAAGTCCAATCTAATGGACGCGATATCCTTTGTTCTGGGAATCAAATCCGCGCAACTACGTTCATCACAACTACGCGATCTTATATACAGAGGCCGGGCAATGCATGAAGATGATGACGAGGATGGAGATGTTACAGCTATCGAAGGACGCGCCAATAATCCAAAGCGTGCATGGGTTATGGCTGTCTATCAAGATGACAATGGAAACGAAATCAAGTTTGCTCGAACGTAAGTTAACATCTCAAAGTATCTTCAGCACTCTCCCAGCTAACCATATTTACCTTTAGGATAACAACATCAGGTCCAAGTGAATACAAGATTAACAATAAAGTGGTGACATATCAAAAGTATAATGAAGCATTGGAAAAACAAAATATTCTTGTGAAGGCTAGGAACTTTCTTGTCTTCCAGGTAAATAACCATGCTTGAGTATATTAAATATGAGGAATTTACAATTATAATTTAAATTAGGGAGATGTCGAAGCCGTTGCATCACAATCTCCGAAAGATTTGACACGATTAATTGAGCAAATCAGCGGGTAAGCGATTCTGTGTATATCTGGACAATTAAACCTTGGATATCTTCTCACCACCTTCCTATGAAAGATCAGCAGAATTAAAAGTCGAATATGAACAATTGAAAGTACAGCAAGAGCGTGCGACAGAAAATTCCGCATTTAATTTCAACAAAAAGCGCGGCATCAATGCTGAAATTAAACAATATCAAGAACAGAGAGCAGAAGCAGAGAGATTTGAACAATTACAGAATGATAAGGTTTATATTGACAACAATTGTCTTTATCATTTTTCAGGGCTAACTAATTCGCTATTTGATTAGACCCAGCTCACCATAAAATATTTGCTCTGGAGACTCTATCACATTGACAAGCAAATAAAAGAGTCAAGAAAGGAAATGAGTAGTCAGGGCGAAAAAATTACTGCCAAACAAAAAGAACAGGTAGTTATTAAACTATATATAAAAATATATTATTTTGTTATTGATATAATTTTGTTGCTTGTAAAGGAAAGGATCGACCGACAGCTCAGAGATGCGAGAGCAGAGCAGGCGAAAGTGCATAGAACGCACTATCAATTGGAAAGGGACATTTTGACGAAAGAAAGAGAGCTAGAAGATAAGGTAATGTGATGCAATGATTTAAAGACGGAAGCGCTTAAATACGTTAATACTAGCAATATCTTAACAAACAATGACTTTATTGCAGAGACCAGAACTACTAACATTAGAAGAAAAAATTATTCATTCGAATAAGAAAATAAAGCACTATGAAGTAAATGCTGAGAAGATTGATCAGGATTATAAAAAACAGGTGAATATTTGTTAGCGCTTTTCTGCAAGTTTGACCTAACGGGATACTCATTGGCGACTGTATTCTATTAAAGACCCAGCATGTCGACAAGCTAAAACGAGATTTGGAAGAAATCACTTCAGCGGCACGGAGATATGAAGGTGGATATCAGATATTGTGGCTGTGAAACCATTTAAACGCATTCTAACAGACAATCGTTTGGTTAGACTCTTTAAAGTCTGGCAGTAGTAGTGCGAGCGGAAGGCTCAGCACAACCGATTTGGCAGAATATAACAAAAGGCAAGAATAACATCCGTTGGTCAACAAACATAAATTAATTGCTATCCGTGTGTCTATGTAGCGTTCTAACTCTTTAATTGTAATCAGAAAAGAAGAAGTTAATCGGCAGATGCTCAAAGAAAAACAGCAGTTAGAAAATCTTAGACGTCAGCAGAAAACCAGCAGTGAAGCCACTCAACGTTTGAAAGAAAAGTTATCCGAACTTTCTAGACGTCGTCAGCAAATTATGGAAGAAAAAGATGCTTCACTTAACGCCAAGGAAAAGGTTCGAAATCGAATAGATTTATGAATCTTTGAAAATGTACAATATGATTGTTAATACGCAGCACTATTTAGGTTGCAGGCTATGTTGCCCAATTGACTACAGATCTCGAAAATCAAAGAAATGATTTACATAATGTGGTTAATGAGCGAAATAGAATAACGTAATTGTTTGTCATTATTATTGTTTTAGTTGGGATTCTATTTGTTTCTTTTATTAACGCGGCTTTTTGTGACCGTCCGCAAGCAAACGCGAGAGCGAGCTCAATGCACAACTCCATGTCATTCTTAACCGTCTTAACGATGCTCGAGTTGATCAGCGGGAATCTGAAAGAGAGGCTAGAATGAAGGAATCTCTGAACAGCCTGAAAAGGGTATTTAGTGGTGTATATGGTCGCTTTATTGACCTTTGCCAGCCAACTCAGCGCAAGTACGAAGTTGCCACTTCTATAATACTTGGAAGGAACATGGACGCTATTATAGTAGCTACCGAGAAAACTGCCATTGAATGCATTCAAGTAATTTGTCTTATTACTTTGTTGTCAGGTTCTAATAAATTCATCTTAATGTTGAATATTTGATTCTATTAAGTACATGAGAGAGCAACGCCTTGGCCATGCGACTTTTATTCCACTCGACACAATAGCTGTCAGGCCGATCAACGATAAATATCGTAGCCTGATGAAAGGTGCAAGATTGGCGATTGATGTTATTGAATACCCAGATGAGCTTGAGCGTGCTTTACAGTATGCATGTGGAAATACTCTTGTTTGCGACGATTTGGAGATAGCAAAGGCTATTTGCTATGGTAGGAACCAAGAAGTAAAAGGTAGTATTTACATCCTTGCTTATTTTTGAGATTAATGAGAAATAAGGTAATCTTAGTTTGGGAATGATCTGTGGAAGTTGCTTGTTAATTTTAGGATTTGAAACTATTTTATATTATTTATCTGTAGCTGTAACTTTGGATGGTACTATTATTCATAAGAGCGGTTTGATCACTGGCGGTAGAAGCGGTATCGAAGCAGGTGCACAAAGGTTTAAGGAGCAGGAAGTAGATGGTAAGATGTATATTATCTAATTGCCTCCACGTATACCGAACAAGCATATTAACACCGAGTTATTATAATGTTTTGTAGCATTACGACGCAAAAGGGATGCATTCCTGGCTCAACTTAACGAGATAACCAAGCTTAGGCGAAAGGGCCATTCAGAAGAACAAATGAAAGGCGAAATATCAGCAGCTGAGCAGAAATTATCTCTATTCCGTGATGATCTGGTAATCGATAAAGCTTCGTTAGAACAAGTCTATCATACTATTGACCTTACTTACGCGAGTTATTTTGTAGGATAATATTGTCCGTAAACTGGCATCATTAGAAAGCGAACTACGTATTATTGAGGACGAGATTTTACAAGTTACCCCTAAACATCAACAAGTATGTTTTGACAAATATGATACGGTTTAATATTCTCCTTCCTCAATTACTGACAACTTTACAGTCCCAAGTTACTTTAACACAGTTAGAGAACCAAATACAGACCATCGAAAAAGCCATTCACAGTGAAGAGGATGCGATTTTTGCTGATTTTTGCAAAAAGATCAGCGTGGGAAACATCAGAGAATATGAGCAACGACAGCTCAAAATGGCTCAGGAAGCCGCTGAAATGAGATTGCGGTTTACTACACAGCAGTCTCGATATCAAAATCTGTGAGTTGATATATCGCGAGTTTATTTTTCGTGCTGGAAAAGTCTTCTAATCAAGTCTCCCAACAGTTTAACATTCGAGACTGAACAGCTGAAGGAGACTGCAGATCGTCTTCAAAAAATACGAGAATTTATGTCTAACGATAAAAAGTTGTTGGCGAATTTTGAGCGACGGCGTAACACAATGCTTGCTGATAACGAGCGTGTTAATAACGAAATTGCAGAACTTCGTCACGATCTTGATCGGACAAAGGAAGAATACGAAACCAAGAGTGAAATAGTGAATAATTTGAGAAAAGAGTTAGCTCAGAAAACGAGAGAAGTGGATAAAATGTTGAAAGACATTTCCAATAGGGTGAGTGTTCTGATGAAGTCTTAATTACTCGTTAAGATTCTGATCCGATAAAGATTATAAATGATCTTTTACAGGAAGCCGATGTCAAGAAATGTAGCACAGATCAGTTCTTTATATTTCGTAAATGTAAATTGGAAGACATTGATATACCTTTGCTCTCGGGTTCTATTGAAAATATTCCATTGGAAGACTCTGTAAGCTTTCAGTTTGCTACATTCCATAGCATTTGAGTCATTGAATTCCCCGTCTGACTATTTTTTTTATCTATATAGTCTTTACAAGACGGTGACCCAATGGATTTAGATGATGGCCAACCATCCGGCAGTCGAGCTAATACTAGATCTGCGGCACGAGCTGCTCGAGGTGAGACCAATTGGAATGTCGAGGTTGACTATTCTGGGTTGGATCGAGAACAGAAGGAGGTAAGCACATAGTTGAAAAGTTGTTAAGGTCAACTAATAATGTCTTAACATATTTTATCCATCCAGGATGATTCACCTGAAACGGAGCAAAAGTTTTTGAAGGATATACAAGAGAAGGCGACCGAGATAGAGCGAGTTGCACCTAATTTAAAGGCTATTGAACGGTAAGCCAAGTTACTGTTAATAAACCCGACCAGAATACTAAGTATAAGCCCTGTACGCAGGTTGGATGGAGTGGAACAGCGTCTACATGAGACAGAAAGAGAATTTGATAGTGCAAGAAGAGAAGCGAAAACTGCAAAGGAAAAATTTAATGCTATAAAGCAAAAACGGTAACACTTTCAGTATACATTATTTACCGTTAGCATTACAGCATCGATTGAAGTGAGTTTGCGTTCTAGGTACAAACGTTTTTACGATGCGTATAGTCATATTGCTGAGCGCATTGACCAAATATACAAAGATCTCACTAAAAGCCGTAACTTCCCTCTTGGGGGGACGGCTTATCTTAGTTTGGAAGATACAGAGGTACGTTGAATATTTCATCAAGTCACACTATGGGACAGTTATGACTGTCCACGTACATTATTTCATTTAATTAAATGATGACACGTCGCTTAGGAGCCGTATCTTGATGGTGTAAAATACCACGCAATGCCACCGATGAAACGTTTCCGTGATATGGAACAGTTGTCTGGCGGTGAGAAGACGATGGCGGCCCTTGCATTGCTCTTCGCCATTCACAGTTATCAGCCGTCGCCGTTCTTTGTGTTAGATGAGGTCGACGCTGCTTTGGATAATACCAATGTTGCTAAGATAGCTAATTATATTCGAGAGCACGCGTCGGACACGTTTCAGTTCATTGTCATTTCACTAAAGAGTACATTGTATGAGAAAGCGCAGGCGCTAGTTGGGATTTATAGAGATCAGGATGTTAACAGTAGCAGAACACTTACATTGCAGGTAAGGCTTTCGGTAATCTGGGGAAGATTTGGTAGCTCGTTTGATTCTAATAATTATTTATTATGTAGTTGGATAAGTATGAAGAATAGTTGAATAAACAGTCTATGCAAATAATGCACTTCGATCACAACATCTTGTTCTTATTTATTTCTATGTGGTATTATCGGTCAGTATCACGATAGATATCAACCTACATATATTGGATTCGCTGATCGTTAAACTCGCTTTGTAGAATCATGGACAGTAAAAATACAGCAGAAACGTCACAGATGTCATGACTTGGAATACTTTGATATAGCAGCACCCTTCGTTCTCTTTATACTCTATCACAAACTATTTAACTGCAATTGACGATGTTCGCCCAACGCACCAGTATTTCGCATGACCCACGTTTTTCGGTGACGTAACGTTCATCTGGAATAAAACGTAAAGATAGACAAACTGGATACGTGAACATACAAGATGCAGTCGTATTGTTGTGGCATTGTCTGTAACACAAGTCTTTCGGGACTTTTAGAAGTACATTAATAAAATTACGTCTTGGTGCCGGGTGTTTAGGAAATGTATGCCGCGGATCCTAATGATGCGAACAACTATACTGTTCCTTTATTAATAAAACCGACGATATCTATAATAACCTATTCGAAATACTTCAGAGCTTCTACGTAACTATTCAAACCCCCAACATCAATTCTTCCATTTATGTTTTCTGCATAAAATTTACATTTGCCTTCATTAATTGCCCACGCCAAGAACTTTCCGGGTGCATCACGCTGTTCGAGCGCTTCGCCCTTCTTTTCAGACTCTTTCAAAAATTCCGAGATCAAGCTTACTGCATTTTTTTTGAGAAGATAAAAGCATGGACAAGCTTCCCTAGATGCAGTTTCTTCCGGATCGGGTTTCTCAAGGAAGTGTGTTATTAAATTGTTGAGCGATTCATCTATTAGTGCAATTCCGTATCTCTTCGTAAATTCATCGGGAATGGTGTACGTCACCGTTAAGCAATCATTGTCGGACAGCGAAGAAAAACGAATTAGCATGTCAGAGAGCTTAAAATTACGATAAAAGAGTAGATCGCCCGCAATTATTAGAATATCCGAATCTAGCTTGAAATATTTAATTGCATATTCGATATCCGCTATTGCACCAAGACGATTTTCATTAGCCGTTGTTCCATCACTGCAAATATGATCGGCCGGAATATTATGTCTCTTTGTCCAAGTAATAAATGCATCATAGTTCATTGCATTAGTCACAATGTATAGATCACTTCTAGAATCAATTCCTGCAGCCGTAAGAACATCCAGCCAAGAACTTATTAGCGCATCGTAATTACCAACGGGAAGTAAAGCCTTGGGAACGCCAAGAAGATGAGAATAAGCATGTGTAGGGTCTGCACGGATATCTCGTTGAAGACGTGTACCATAACCAGCTCCAAGAATGAGGACTTTAATCGACATGGTAAATTGGAAACTGATCGCTGGTGGCACGAGCTCACATTCACACGTACCATCTATAAATAAATTTTATGATATAAATAGTGGTTTCTGGACATATTGAAGAACGAAGGCGTGAAACACGATTATAGTCCATGCCACGCGTCGTCAAAAGTTTTACCGTTATACATTTGTCTAGTGCTGGAAGATGGATTATTTTCCGAAGACTTCGTTTATTATTCAAAAACAAGTGCTTGTCTCGGAGATATATACGATAATAATAGGCTTATGTTCAGCAACTTGTTCAAGGCGAACGTCAAATAACACTATTAGCATTGTAGTCTGTAATATTGACGAGTCCGTAATATTATTTATTAAAAACTCCAGAGAAAAAGTCTGATTTATCGACGGTCCGTTATATTGACTTTCACTGTATATTTGCCAAGACTACATTGACTGGCGGAGTATATGTGAAGCATTTCTTCCTCGCTGTCTAAATGTAATTTCAAACAGATATCACGCAAATGTATACGCGAATATGATAGGCTTATTATTGATAAAATCCGTATGCATCGAGTCATACTCCGAACGCGCCTCGACTTACGATGCATTGATCAGCAAAATAGGTTAGCAATCTGTTCATTATAATTGAGGCTAATTATCAGACATACAGTTATACAGTGTCTAGGTCGCTATTAACGACATGATTGGTTTATACGTCAACCCTCAACTAATAGTTTATTAAATAAAGACCTCGAAACCTCAACTAATAGTTTATATTATGGTAGAAGCTACCGAGCTTGTAAAGAGCGATCTTCGCCTTTGATTTCTATGGCCTTCCGTGTCGTAAAAGGACGTAGGCGGTTTGTTTTTTCTGCTCAAAAATATCCGACAACACGCGTCTTGTTGAAGAAGAAAAAATGGAAACTAGGATACATGTACCAGCACATAAACAGTGCTTTAGTTGAGATAGACCTCGAACGTTTTGTGGATGGCGGCGAATATTATTATGTCGAAGTTAAGGGAGGAAACAACAAAGGCTAGTAATAACCCAAATGTCGTTTGCATATGACGGGATGCAACAGAAACGTAGTGTTATACACTATCTGCTAATTTACGCTTTCCTTTCTCTAGAATTTGCTTATGCTTGACAAACGAGAGGAGAAAAAAAAAGATACCGAGTCGAATGCTTCCAAATCACAATGCTTGCCCACCATCGGTTTAAAATATACCAGCACCAGCAAGCACCATTGATATTTTAATACTGACAATATTATTCTATGGCTGTCTTAGTCTGTCGAGATATCACAAACAGTTCGAGAATTTAGCTAGAACCCTTCCAACGTCTCCGTACCAAGCATTCAAGTTAATAAATTTAAGCGAATCTTGTCGCTCCCCAAAAACGCTATTATTCTTGGGGTTCATGACAATTAGCAATCAAGGTGGATGCTAGTTTATTCAATTCATGGACACACTAGTTTGAGGACGGGTATTGGTAAGACTTCACTTCGTTATTCTTATCTGAACACTTGGATGTCTTCTAGAGATCGAACGCTCGTAATATTATAAAAAGTATATGCTAGGACATTCTATTTTAACTAAAGGTCGGCGGCTACACGTTTTTAGCGAAGGGACACTGTTGCATGCTATACCAAATTGTTGATTGAGATACTAGCAATGAGCATATGAAACTCTTCACTCTCGAAGAACACGAATTTCCTTCCTCACTCTTCCTCTTGAAGGCAATCTTTGTTCAGCAACGCTGCAAGCTAGAATACTCGAAGTTTGTTATTTAGGAACTAAAGGTCCAGCGCAGCGCCTACATTTCTCAAAGTAGCGAATGAAGAATGCTTGTTATAATTTCTTCTACTATGAATGGTCCCCGAAAGAGTATATTCAAATAGCTTTATGCAAGCGTTAGTCTTTGTTTTATTATTAATAGACTAAATAACTGATTTTCTGTATCACAATGTCCCGCAGTTACATTAATACAGCATATCCGTTCAAAGTCAGCCATTCTTTATTATTATTCACACAACTAACCGACTAATTACACACACAAGTATATTTGCAAGATGCTGGGCAAGTGCTGTTTTTGCATCGGTTTGAGGTATGCATAAGAGTAATTCTATTGGTGTTGTATGATCTGTCTTCTTAACTTCTCTTACTTGTTAACGCAAAGGCCGGCGACTCTCATTCTAGCTACTCTTGGCGCGGTAAGCATTCTCTGCCGTAAACTCGTTTAAGAATACGTTTTGGAACCTCAATAATCGAGCGAAAAAACTCATTCGTTTTATTTATAATAGTTGGCAAACCTTGTCAATGCCTACCACTTTTCAGTCTTTGAAGGAAATTATGGATTTTTATATACTGTCTTATCCACTTACTACCTTGGTGCTTCTTTGGCATGTATCTGTGGTTTCCAAGGTGTCCTTAAGGTATGAATATTGAACGTGCGATATTAGTTGTGTTTGTAAAGCTCTGAAGATCAAAAAGTATGATATTGTGAGCTTTTTGTAATTTAACATTTCGTTCTCGCCTTCTAGAATAAAGTTAAATATGTCAAGATCTTTGCTATCTATTACTGGTGGCAGCTTCTTGTCGCGTTTACTTTATCGATCATGATTTCAGTCATCGTTTTCTATTTTGAATTCGATGTCTGTGAAAAATTCATCGGACAGCCAGATGTCGATATGACATTGGAGGAATGCTTAGATTTCTATTTCAAGAGTGCTGCTTTCCTTGTTATTTCTCTTGCAGTTGGATGTCTTATTGAGGTGAAATATTGCATTGTTTTGTTTTCTGGGGGGAAGAGGGCTTATTCGTCACAAAATTAATCTTGACATTTATTTGGCTTTCGAAACTTGACAGCTCCACTTTTGCATGGCTGTTTGGGCTTATTACAAACGTCTCAGCGTTGAACAACAATATCGGGATATTTCTGATGTCGTCTATCATGTTCAATATACACCTGTTCAACATGCTTCCATTCAATATTCAGCTCAATATTCAGCTCCCGAAGACAGCAATCTTCCTCCAGCCTATGAAAGCGTTCATGGAATTTTAGGTGATCAGAAATTTGGTGCTACTCCTACCGTGGCCGGTAAGCAATAGAGACATACGGCAAGGATCCTGTTGTAGGAGAGACATAGACAAAACACAGAGAATGGCCAACTTCTAGTCGGCTTAAGTTCTGTTTATATTTTATTTGTCTGCATGTGTCAAAGTTTTAAGAAATAAATAAACAAATATCAATACTAATACACATTTGATTATTGTAAATGGTTCAACATGTATGATACAATTTATGATCATGCTTTCTGCACAGTTGGTGGCACAGGAAACCTTTATTATTGTCACGCCTGTGACCACCCTTTCACTGTTTTCCTCTCTACTATAATGACAGCAAAAAACTATTGATTGTTGTGTCACGACGGTTAGAGTAAAGAAGGAGCTTTATTATACTATTGAGAATACTGAGTTTAGGTAACACGGGCGATGATTCCTGCGAGAATTTGGGTGTGGATGTAAATATATATTGTCAGTTAATGGTTAACATTTAGCCTTTTACCACCAGTTTGGCTAAGTTGATTAGTACAAACGTTTCTTCATCTACAATGTGTGCCGACACATCTTCAAACTAAACTGACTGACGTTATTGGCATCCTTGCCTGTGGACAGCCGTTTATGAAAACGTTCACAAATGCGGGTGCTAACAAATCCACATAATAATAATACATTTGCCATAATAATAAATGGACACATTTTCTGAGACAATTATTTTAGTAGGAAAAAGACTCTTTTTGCTAAATTTGCCCTCCAAACGTACATAGGTGGAAAATTCTAACGTCCAACATATACCTCCATGACAAAAAAAAATGAATGAAATGCAGTCTTGATATTAATAAAACAGTCGAGGGAGGAAAGTCGATGCACGACAGTTATGATACAATGAAGAGAGGGAAAAAAGAAAATAAATGTAACGAGAAATGAAAAGAAACTATGAAACAGAAAGATAAGTGCTCAATAAGTTTGTACTTCGCAGTTGGAAATAATGATAAACCATGACTCCGAGGTTGAATATGAGTGTACTTTCGGAAGAGGAATTGAAAAGGAGTGAATGATGGTATAGAAAATAAAAAGCTTGTTGTCTTGTCTGCTCAGTAACAAATCTCTAACTTTAATAAAATAAGATATATTATAAAATAATAGATGCACTTTGATAAACAAGTACTTAGTAAGAATAGAAAATCAAAGAATGGGTAGTCAATCGCCAATCTAATAAAATAAAAAGAGTCCACAGAACCTGATTATGTTGGAACTTTCATATTGTTTCCATCATTTAATAAAGTCTCCAACCAATAAAGAATAATTTCCAGTGAACGTGCGGTCCAACTGTCATTCGGCATATCAAGTGGTATCCAGTCGGCATAAGGAATAGGACCTTGACTACTGTCGAGAACGAAAACGCTCGTAATGATGCCGAAGAGATAAACAACCAGCGTATACAGAGCAAATGTCACAGTGTTATTAACCATCGAGTTGTACTGAGCAATTGACATATTGCCTCGTGTCACAAGAGCTCTCGAAGAAGCTGCCGTTACTACTGATTCAGCTTTCTCCGGCTGAAGATAAAAAAGATAAATTATATTGAAAATATATCGACATGTCAGAAATAAAGCATTAGACAATACCTCTGCTTCTACGTTAGCGGGTGTTCTTCGTCTTCTTGTACGCGTGCTTGTACGACTTAGCCGCGAATGTTTTGTAAGATCAGTGCTTTCCCCTTCAATGGAACGCCGATCACGTCGTTCAAGAGGACGATTATGATCTTTGATCATATTCTCGATCAAAGCATACTGATGCCCTAACTCTTGAGTAAGGGCCTCAAAATTGTGTGCAACGTCTCGATCCCGTAAACGGATACCATTCCCTTCTGCCTGACGACGCAGTGAACGGGATTCTCGTTTGCGGTTTGAATGCTCATCCACTGGATGACGATATTGTTCAAGCTCTGACTGTCGAACATTTGTTAATTCTTCATCAGCACCATCTGTACTAACAGCAGTTTGATCGGAAACGTTATCCTTACGTCGGCGGGAAGACTAGTTGTTTAAAGAACATTAGATAGTTTCCTTATTGACATTAATTGAAAGATGCTAAGAACTTACTTTAGGGCGTTGCAACATTTCGTCTTCTAAGGTAGTGTGATCATTTGCTTCCAATTCTAATGCCAGACTCTTAAATTGAAGCGAGAATGACTAAACCTGCAATCTAACAGTACTAACCCAAATTATAAGTAATACTATATAGTAACTCACCGACATTGAAGGATCAACAATTTTGCCACTCCGTATTTCGTCCAAGTCGAGCTTTAATTTGTCAATTGTTTCTTTAAGCACCGAGTTCTCTGTACGCTGTTGTTCCAATTCTACTTCCGACTGTTGTGCCAAAGCCACATCAGCCTCTAGTTTTGCAAGGGCACTTTCTAAACGTTGTCGCTCTTCAATCCACTGTTATAATAGGTGGAATTTTGTGGTGAGCGGATAAGTCGTGCTACATAATTACACGCCATGCAAGAATGTGTACCTTTTTTTCCCCAGCCGTGAAATTGCTGAGATTTTTTGTAGTGTTCGCCAACTCGCCTTCCTTGACCCGTACAAGGTCTCTTAATTTTTCCGCTTCCTCTGGAACATAGTCAATTAATTTAAAAAACCGAAAATGCCAGGTGGAAACCAATGCGTCTATACTAACCACTTTGCTCTTCATACTGCCTCTTAAGTTGGTTATAGAGTTGTTTTTGTCCATTCAAGTTCTTATGGATCTTCTGTATTTCTATTTCAAGCTGCACTCACGACGTAATTAAAATGGCTGTAGTATTAATAGTCCTTTATATGATAGATAATTAACGGAGTAAATACTTACTGCAGAAATCTGATGTAAATTTGTCTTCTCCTTACTCTTATGATCTTGAATCTCTCGTTTCTTATTTTGTAAATCGGCTTTAGTCTCTTCTAGTTTGTGCTGGAGCTCCTCAATACGTTCCTCATGCTGGCGGGCTACGTTCGTTAGATGCCTCTCGGATTCTTTCAGTCTCTTTGCAAGCTCAACTGTGTGACGATGCAATCGACTAAGTTGCTCAGCAGGATCATCACCTGGCTACATGGGGAGAAGCAAAAATTTTCACATGCAACCAATATAACTAAAGTCACCCGAATCAATATCATTAGCTTATTCAATAAGATTTCATACCTCTAATAATACAGGGAGTCCGTCGATATACTCTCCCCTAGACTCAAGCGTACCTGATTCAAATTCATCAGGATCAATTGGTCGTGGGTAGCCGGCTCCCATGCCAGAAATATTGCGACCACCAAATGGTCGTCGCCTACGTCCTAAAGGACCACTACCGGAAGGAGAAGTGTACGATTCGTTGCCCTGTAAATTATTTCGGGTTTCGGGACTCTATACATAAGTTTTTCACTATAACAAAGTTCAATAATTCGGCTCATATTTACCGCCATACTATCTTCGTCACTTAGAACATGATCTGGAGAAGTAATGCCGGAATTCCTGTTCGCTGATGAATTGTAAGGAGTCCTAGCCCAACCACTTCTAACTTTTCCAAATTTTGTAATCGGTGTGGTGCGAGCTCTATCGGGAACTGGTGATTGTTGAGGTGTTGCCAGGTCATTGTTCGTAGAAACGCTAGTAGAGGGCCCAGTAACAGTGGTTGGCCTTAAGCCATCTATTAATCGCATTACATCTTCAACGGATACTTCCATTTCCGGATTTTGCGTGCAGAATTGTTGAAACATATTCGAAGCTTCGTCATTGAGCAAGCGCTTCGGTTGCTTGGATTCCCAGACAGTAACGGTGTTAAATAGGTCTTGACAAGATATCCTTCCGCTTCCATCTTGGTCATGTTGTCTAAAGAGACTCTCCAATTGCGATCTGACGCTGTCGTGTGTGTTCTGAGCCTGCTAGAAACAGAATGCAGCAGTTAAAATTTTAGTTAATTTGGATTACATAACGAACCCATAATATCGTGAAATTGTATATTTGCAAAACACTACTATAAGCATTTACTGAACAAACGCATGAAAGTTATCTCTTTACGAGCATTGGCCGTCTGCCCGATCTTGTATAGTCTCGTATTTTTTTTCTGTTGAACTTCTCTGAATAACGAACCTGCTCAGGGGGTTTTGGTTGGTCAGAAGGTTGGCTTTCCGCTCTCGATGAGCTAACTTCCAGATCCATCGGTTATGAATGACACTGTCTCATGTATTGTGGAGGAGATTAGATGAGGGTTAATCACACAAGTAACTAAAGGAAAGGGAGTGGATATTTATTTGGTTTGATGACAGGTCTTTGCTATGAGTGGCCGCTTTCTGAAGCGTCCGTAAAATACGTCTGTATCAGATATAACGGGGCTTCACAATCCAGAACTAACTTTGTTTTATTTCCTGTGTTACCTTAACTGCATGACACCACAACCCGCTCGAACGCCTAACACTTTCGCTATAGGGAATCAATTAAAATTTAGACATTTAATATAGGGCTTCTCGCAACCGGTCTTGATAATCGTTAAGACTAAATAATGTCTGCAACACCACGAAACGTCTCGCCCTCAATATCACGTAAACCCATTAGTCAAGGCAGCTCAGGGACAAATAATGCATCTGATATCGACCAGTTATTGGACTTAATCGACTCTCAATTAGCAGCCTCAAAACCTCCGGCACAAACAACGCAGTCGAATAATGACTCGGCGACGTCGACTCCACAAGCACATTCAGGAGCAGCGCCGCCACAAATTGCGTCATCTTCTAGTTACTCTAATTATTCTGCTTCAACAAGTAGCAAGCCTTTGCCTGATCCTTCAAGTCAACATACATATGCTAACAATCCTATCCCTTCTCAATTAGCGACAGCAGCACCACAGCCCTCCATATCATATGTAATGCCGAGCAGTAGTAATACGGATACTACAAATTCTTATAATGCATCGTATCATCCGCATAATAATATACAACCACCTGGTTCAGCGCAGACTTCGTATTATGGGAGTACATCACAATACTATGCAGCTCAAAATTATCCCCAGTCTGGTAATTACTACTCGCCTTATCCACAACACTGGCAGACTACACACAATCTATACACGAGTGCGAGCGGGCGACCTTTGCCGACGCCTCCTGGTCCAAATTATAATTATGGGGGCGTTCCCGCAAGTTATACATATGATAACCCTCAATATCCAGCCGTGTCTCCAACAAGTGGAGAGTCATTATCTTATTTAAGTTATAATATGCCTGAGCCCCGGACATACGTTTCTCCGTCTCCTCAATACCAATCGATCCCGGAGACGGAGGCTGCTCTTAATGATGGACGTAGACCACTTCCATTACCAACGCAACCTGGACAACAACCCACTACTGTAAACAATTTCTCAAATCCGAGCGCTCAACCTCAAAAACGGCGTTCTAGTCAAAGTTCTAAAGATCATAGTGATGATGTCTATGCTGCTTATCCAACTGAACACAGGCGGCCTACCAGGTGAGAGAATTAAATAAGTTGTTAGAAATTTATTAGATACTATTTTGCTTTCGTGAATTGACTAAATGATGGCTTGATAAATAATTACGAATTTCAACTGCCTGATGGTGCGCTTGGTAGTTTGCCGTCTGTTCCCGAGAAGCCGCGAAAGGAAACTGATCCGTATACGCCGAGCAGTGCGTCAGCAATTCAACAAAAAAAGAAGGACATTTTCCACGGGATTAATGGAATGATGAATCCTGCCCTTCTTTCAAACATAGCCCTAGTATTTAAAGCAATAATTAAATTAGGCCCGCATGTAAAAGGGGTTATTGAATATCCAGACAGCTTTAACGGGAATGACGCAGTGGTACGTTTATTCGTTATTGTTGATGATTAGAAAGACCATTATTCGTTTGAGAAAGTTGCATTCACGACAACAACTATGTATCTAGAACACTATACTTAGTCTTCTGCCGACTAATACACATCGCCGACTTGCACTATCGATGGCACGATCGCTGGAAGCACAACTTTACTTTCATTCAGTCGACTGGTCTATAGTAACGGTGGTCAGAGATAACGATGACGAAGTCTATACGTTTCTTAATCCTGACCCTTACTCACCATCTACGTGGGAGTGGGATGAAGACTTTCCTACGGGTGTATTTCCTAGTGTTGCAAAATGTTACAGTCCTCAATGTTCGACGGACGGGAAAGGGTGCTATTCGAGAACTTGTCCCAACTACGTGCCGAATGAGGTAATATAATATACGACGCATGTGTTCATGTGAACGCGACCCATTCTTTTCTGAAAAATAATCGTTTTGATTATCTCCGTTACAAGGAGGAAGCCTCTAAAAAAAGCGAACCGCCTCTCAACCGACAGTTCAGTACAATGTCATTAGCATCGGATCAGTCAGAACCGGTATTGCATCCTTCAACCGTTAAATTGTTTCGATAGCTATCGAGCAGATTATCATTCAACTAACGCGTACATCAACTTCAAGGGGTTAAATAGGCCTCCTGCATCATCGCAGGAAAGAACATGGATGGCATCTGTTCCGAAAGAAATATCCGATAAGCTTGATAAAGAGGAACAAAAGCGACAAGAGATAATATTCGAGACTATCTATACTGAAGAGGATTATGTTAAGGATTTAAATCTATTAGAGGAGGTCAGTATGGGCATAATCCTGTCAGATTATCATGTGTTGGCCGTATTGAATATTTAATAAATTATTACACTGACAGTTGTATGTAGACGGATTGCGAAAAGCCTCGCCGCCAATTATTTCTCCAGCCCGAGTGGAAATGTTTATCCAAGATGTGTTTTATAACGTATTCGACATTCGTGAACACAATCAACGACTACTCGAGCGGTTACGTGAACGACAGCGGGAAGGCTACGTGGTCGAAAAAATTGGCGATATTTTCCTGCAAAGCGCGTTGGATTTTGGGAATGATTACATATTATATAATGGTCATTTCCCGTTGGCTGACAATTATTTGAGAGCTGAAAAGGCTAGGAATCCAGCATTTAAGAGCTTTCTAGAGGTAATATGGTAAATTATGGCATGGATTACGCTTAGTGCGCGTATGTGTTGTTTGGGTAAAAAGACTTATTGGCGCTAATCAGTTGCCCTGGCTTGTATAAAGCAATGTTCACGTCGTCCAGAGGCGCGCAAACTCGATTTTCGTCACTTCATACAACGACCAACGACGCGTCTACAGCGCTACACACTCCTCCTTGAGCAGATTCTGAAACACACTGCTGATGGGCATCCCGACAAGGGAGTCCTTGAAAATGCTTGGAAAAATATAAAAGAACTGTGCAAGGAAAGTGATAATAAAGTGCATGAGGCTGAGAAACGATTGCGCATAGTCGAATTAGACCGCAAATTAGTAATGAAGACTGGAGAAACCTGCGTACGTGTACTTCCATCTTTTATGGGTTTAATGTTTAATTTTATCCCAACACGAATGTTAAAATTCATCTCTCCATGAACAGCCGGCACTCAAACTTCTTGATCCTAACCGTCGACTGCTCTTTAAGGGTGAATTACAGAAAAGATCTGATACTGGCATCGAATGGCTAGATTTGTATGTGTTTTTGTTCGATCATTATCTGGTCATGACTAAGCCAAAGAAGGGTAATGATGGAGAAGTCAAGTACATAATTTCAAAGAAGGTAAGAACAAGTGTCTAGTTTCTTGACTATGGTATATTGTTTTTACGGACTTATTTTCGTGGTTGAATAGTCGCAAGACTCTATTATTGGTGCGCTTGGCTGCATTTACAATTTTTATTGGTACCTTGTGTTGTTATTTCGTATGTTAATTCGTTTATAGGCTATTCCTTTGGATATGTTGGTGGTTGATTTGTCTATTGAGCAGCCACAACCTAGATCAATCCATTTCCCTACCTTGAACGTTCTCGGTGATGGAAGACGAGCGAGGACCGGCAGCCTCGGATTTCAAGGATCTGGCCCACCAATGGTCACAAATCTGGACGGACAAGATAATCAAATGAATCGGCAAGCAGTATACCCATTTACGGTCATTCACATAGGTAAACATGGCGGGACTTATCAGCTTTTTGCGGATTCAGCTAACACGAGAAGAGTGTGGAAGGAAAAGATTCTTGAGGCTCAGAACAAATTACAGCTTAGTAGATCTCATCAGCAAGTGTTTGAACTTTTTACTCTCAATGATGCCACTTTCGGATCACACCCAGCTGCCACTAATGGCCCTAATTCTGGGCCATCTTCGTGGAAAGGCAAGGTTATTTGCTCGGTACCATTCGGTGAGTGTAATGTTTGCTATTGCGGGACATTTAAGTAAAGTGGCTATAAGATCAACGATTTTACGTTATATTATTGACTGACACGACTTTCTTACGGAAATTCTTATTAGTTACCTCTGAAAAGAGGCACATGGTTGCTATTGGCACTGATGAAGGAGTATGGATGGGCCTTGGTGGCGAAACCAACTCATTTCGCAATGTGCTAAGAATCAACAATGTAACACAGATGGCAGTATTGGAGGAATATGGCCTGTTTATTGTGTTGGCAGGTAATTAGTCGAACAAAGCGTTTGTTTTGCATTATTCTCATTCGTATTACACGTAACACTATTGTCTTTGATATACACAGATAGAATGCTTTGGGCTTATTCATTAGAAGCAATGATACCGTCATCTGGAAACAGTTCGACAACCAGTAATCAAGTTTCTCGACATCCACAAAAAGTTACTCAGAGTACGAACGTACAATATTTCGGAGTTGGAACAATCACGGATAAAACACTGCTGGTTTATATGAAAAGGAGAGGATTAGAAAGTCATTTCAAAGTATTAGAACCAGTGATATCTCCGCAGAATTCAACAGAAAAAAGTCGGGGATTGGGAGCAATCAGTTCACGACGATTTGGCATCGGAAGAAATGAATGGTTTAAAGAGTATAAGCAATTATATATTCCATCTGAATCATATTCAGTGAGCTTTCTAAGATCTAAGCTCTGTGTAGTATGCACGCGAGGATTTGAAATAGTCAATCTGGATACACTATTACCCACTACGATACCTGACTTTAGTGAACCAGAATTTGCCTCTATTGCACGACAGTGCGAAGGTTCTAAACCACTTGGAATGTTCCGACTTGGGGATAATGAATTTCTGCTGTGCTATGACCGTGAGTTTTCTAACATCATAATATTGCAATATATTTGAATGATTGTGTCATATATTAAGTGTATGCATTTAACGCTTCTTTATTTTCAGAGATCTTCTTCTATGTTGACAGACATGGCGAACTATCTCGTCCCACTTCTTACCAATGGGAAGGCACCCCTGAGGCTGTCGGTAAATATGATTTAAATTGATTATTATCAATTACGTAACGCTTTAATATCTACATAAACTGTCATTAATATTAATCACTGTATGACGTTACCTTCGTCTAGCACTTCATATGCCTTATGTCATTGCGTTTGATCCCTCGTTCATCGAGATAAGACACGTTCAGAGCGTGAGTCAGTTGATTATTGTAGTGGTAACTTATGTTTTGTCATGCATTAATAACGTACTATTAACTCGAAACCTAGGGTGAGCTCGTTCAAGTAATACCAGGAAAGAATATGCGATGTCTAAACGACAACACAACAGGAAGACACGCAGTGCATGCCGTAATGCAACATCCATTCACAGACACGCAATATATATTCCAACTTGTTTTGGCAGAGAATAGGAGAAGCAATAGCATTATTCGAGGAGTTTCTTCAAATTTAGCCTAATGATTAGGGTTGGTTTTCGACATGGGTTTCGTCGTTATTTTTTTTCATAGCTTTGATTTTTGGCTTGGGAATAGTTTTATGTATGATAGACATTATTCATATTGCGTATCAGTGTTCGAATTCTTATTCCATTTCATTACGTTCAATTCCTCTACACACATCAATCTTACATTATTCATACATCTGTAATAATACTACGATTATATACATCTGCTATGATTATAAATTGCTCATACTTACGCTATCAATGTAAGACGGGCATTACTAAATTGTTTGGCAACAAAAGACGTCGGACGCAAATACATATATAGACGGATTGAAGAGGCATCTTCTACAACATATTGCCCTTTTTGTCGACATGACAAGAAAGAATTTATGTCAGTTTATTAGTCTATAAGACCCATTGAAATTGCTCGCTTTCGAAAACCCAATCTAACCCAATTCTCTAGATAGCCGCGCGACCAATAGTGTGAACGCGGAACCCAATGTTTTGGAGTTTGGAAGCATCCAGGATAAGACGCCCATCAAAGATGAAAGCAGGCTTATTCATTCTATCATAGATTTTTTCGTAGTCCAGTGTCTGCATTGAAGCGACAGTTAGCAATAGTGACTAGCAAAAAGTTTTTCACTTATCAAGACATGTACCTTAAACTCATCCCACTCGGTAGCTATTACAATAGCATCCGTATTATCAGCTGCTTCATAAGCAGAACTCGTGATAGTGATATGTTTTTTAACTAGAACCGAGGAGGTTAGCGTCTTGCTAGTACACATTACCTATACCTATTGAACCTTAACTTACCTTCTTCGGTATTATCAACAATACCGGGCTCAGACAAATCCATATAGATTTGTTCAGACGAAACTTTGGGATCGTAAATACGCACTTTTGCATTTTCTTGAATGAAATTCTTACAGAGTGTAATGGCGGCAGATTCTCGCGTGTCACCAGTGTCCTTCTTAAAAGCAAACCCAAGAAGCGCAATCCTCTTATTCGTAATAGTGTTGAAAAGTGTTTTAATTATACGAGAGACAAATCGCTTCTTTTGGTATTCATTTAAATCAACAACTTGTTTCCAATATGCGGCCACTTCGGGCAGATTCAGTTGTTCTGATAAATAGACCAAGTTTAAAATGTCTTTCTGGAAGCAGCTGCCTCCAAATCCAACTGAAGCTTTCAAAAACTTGGGCCCAATGCGAGCATCTCGACCACAAGCATAGGCAACTTCGTCTATATCAGCACCGGTCGCTTCACAGATAGCAGAAAGGGCATTAACCGATGAGATACGTTGCGCTAATAAGGCATTTGCCGCCTTTAATAGAAGTTAGCATATTTAAATACAATACGAACGTTAAAGAGGTTATGAGGAAGAAACTGCTATTGAAGACTGACCAATTTTGAAAGCTCTGATGACCATAAGTTTGTAGTTATTATGCGTTCAGTTGGCACCCAATGAGCATAAACTTCGACTAAAGCTTTTTGGGCATTTAACCCTTCTGGGGTTTGCAAGGCACCAATCAACACGCGATCGGGATATAGCAAATCATTGATTGCAGTACCCTCTGCAAGAAATTCAGGATTGGAAAGTATATCAAATCGAATATCATCGCTTGAATTGGCTTCTAGTATAGTACGCATGCTTTCGGCAGTACGACATGGCACTGTGGACTTCTCGACTACGATCTTGGAGCTTTTCGCCACATCAGCAATGCCTCTGGTAGCAGATTCAACGTATCTGTGATAAAAACCCGCCAAATAATAAATAAGCACGAATACATTAACATTTACCTACGAGCCGCTTTATAAAAAGTCGGTCAAGCAATGTGCTAGATCTGATTGAGATCATCACTGAAAATCAAGGATTTACTTACGCTAGATCAGCTGCATAACCAGCACCGACACCAGTTTTCTTTGTCGGTGTATTAACTGACACGAAGATGAGGTCAGCTTCGTTAACAGCCTTCTCAACTTCTGTGCTAAAAAAAAGATTTTTGTTTCTTCGAGCGAAAACAATTTCGTCGAGACCGGGTTCATAGATGGGTAAACGTCCGGAGTTCCAAGCAGCAATACGGATAGCATTTACATCCACGATTGTTACTTTAATGTCAGGACACTTGTATGCGATGACAGCACAAGTTGGTCCGCCTAATTTAAGAAACGCAATTGTAAAAGTTCAAACATGTATTCTAAAAACTATTGGCTGCCAAAATTGGATAGACTCTTTACAGATTACTCACCAACATATCCAGCTCCGATGCAACAGATGTTCTTTACGTGAGTCATGATATTTACGTTGTTCGCGTAATGAACGTTTGTTTGTGAAGTGACAGCAGAGTTTTATGCAAGTATATCGTGGTTACACATAGTCGTCGCTTGATGGGGACGTTGACGTTTACTGAAACCCAGTATTTACTGTGGCGAATTTACTTCACTGGTTACATTAAAGTTTATGCCCCAAATTTATCATGGGGCTGAATTTACTTCGATAAACCCGTTATGTAATGAAATACGTTATCATAATACATTTGTTTGTCTCACATTCAGCTGACCCACAAGTTCGGCATATGTGGCTGGCGCTTGGTGGGACGCTTGTCACTAAAACCATTTGGCAAGTCTGCAATCGGCAACTAGATATATTGGTATCGTTTTAGCGTTGTATCAGTCTTATTGGTGACAATGACATCCAGTTATTCCATTATTGTCTTTATTAGTACAACAATACCAACTTGAGATACGAACGCCGTTCATTTGAGTAATATACAGTCAAACCTCGATATAGTCAAGTCGACGGGCATAAATCTTCACTGCAAATCTTATATCAGTATCATAATAAATGACTCAAACGTTATTTCTACTGACGAGTCTAATACTGCTGAACAATTTACATGAAATGTACTGGTACTAAGTTGTTTAACGTAGCAAGTGTCATACCGTTCAATTATGTAGTAACCTCTTGATTCGGTTATAATTTATTAAAGCCGAAGAAACAAGAAAGACATCACACATACTTTTAATCAACACCTGTTTGTATTATGATTGGTCAAAAACCATCAACTTCATTATATCGAGGGAAATTTTAATAATATTGGTTTTGTATCAGAGGAATTCTTTACTATAGCGCGAAATTCACTGTAACTATATCGAGGTTTGTATTGTCTCTATATTATATTGAGAATACGGTAAGTTTATTTTCTACATGTTTGTAATGTATGTTATAACCCAGACCAACAGCCCTTCAATTGAAACAAGAATGTGTGGTTGCACTCAGCTTTTGCACTAGCCATGAATTTAGAACCTGTATAATGGTCGCTTTAGTAAGATTGGATATAAAACACGAGCCCATAGGTGGCGGCTTGATAGAAGCACCTGTGATCAGGTCTATGCGCATGTCATGAAGTTTATAGCAAACGCTTTTATTAATAGCAAAATCGCTAGCCTTCATTTGTAGGCGTAATTAATAAAGAATCCCCACTCTTTGCTCTATGCATATGCATTGACATACAGCATTTGCATAAATGTGATGACAATATAATCATAACAAAAACATTGTATCGTAGTCTTTCCCCTCGAACGATGGAGATGACAATGTAAATTATCCAGGCCCTCCACATAAATTTGTCTTTTATTATCATTATCATTACCATTATTTCTGGAAAACAATAAATCGAATCCTGTTCGAGATACATACAAATGATGACGAGTGTTGATTGTAGACCGCAGTGCGTGGCATACAATATTATGAATTTCATCTATATCTTATCACTTTCTCAATCAATCGTAGAAAAGAATAGACGTGCGACTATTTTCCCACTCTCGTGATAAATAAAGTCCAGTATATAATTAGATACATTAGTTTTATGAGTTCCTTGGCATGCCCAATTCATGTTTGTAATCTTGGAATTTGTGATTGCTGCATTCTGAATGCTATTCTATCCTCATTAATTTGTGCGTTGGTTCGTGCTTCTTCAATAAGTCTATCACGAATCGGTGGATTGTATGGGTATACAAGACCATCACCTGGTGGAGATCCGAACGGTACTAGAGATAGAACAGAGATTAAAATATAATCTAAAATAATATATGTTGATTCAATTTCATTATTATATATACACTTACAAAACCACAACCACCATTTCGTGCCCATAACACTTTTCCAGTTGTCACTCCAGCCAAGGTCCCAGATATTCTCTCCTTGGCGTGTGGTTGCTACCCCATAGCCAAGCGGATTGTTGGCGTCAAACTGTACACGAATGTGATATTGTCGCTTGCGATGTGATATACTTTCTATGGTGGTTCGGTTTTTCAGCATGGTAGTTAAATGTACTAGCGTGAAGCCTGTTAATAGTATTCCAAAGAGGAAAGCCCTAAATAATAATAATAATAATAGTAATAAAAACATGGTTATTATCAACACTGGAACACTTATTATTCAATCTATGCGGCAAAAAATTACTAACAGAATAAGAAGTATTATCCACTGGATATCCAAGTCCTCCTAACATATATACATAATATAATTATACAAATAATATTAGTATACAGTACAATGCCAGAGAAACCAGGATAAGAAACTCCGGGTTCATACTGATGTCTTTTTACCTTATTTGATAGTTGTTGTGCTACGATAGCAATTGTCGCTGCAAAGATGAAATCAGAATATAATGCAGTGTAGAGTACGAATAAGAAGAAAAACTTGTAGTTATTGTAACCAACACAGCCATTAACCCTGGAAGTATAACAGTAACATCCCATTAATAATATACAATTACTTTGCTTTTAACATGTTCACATTCGGAACGTGGCACTTACCACGGGCAGTGACTATATGATGGCAGATAAACACATCAGTTAATAACCAGTACAATATATGATCCAATGCTTATATGTCTTAAATTTAATACGTACTGATCCATCTTCAATACACATTTGTCACATTCTGAGCAATGATGACATCGATCAGGCTTCACGTAATTGCACCGATCACACCAACGCAACCCGCCGTCACGCTTACTTATTACTGTGCTAGGCATAGGAATCATAACACGTGTCTGCTGATTACTTACAGATGTGGATCCCATCAGTGTCTCAGATGTACCAGACGTTGCCGTTGTGGCGTCTTTTATGTATGCATTCTCCATTGGCCTTAACTGATCAGAAGTCGAAATCGGACCAGACGGATATGTCGCAACTCTCGTGGATGCTGTTGATGGTGTACTTGGTGATGAGACAGTCGTAGTAGATGACGTGGAACCGCTTGGCGCATACACAGGCATTGAATTTGATGGCGCCGTTGGTTTAGGAGGCTATACAATAACAATAACAAATAATCCTTTATTGTAAGCGAACGCTTTCACATTATATCCAACGATAATGCAGATGTTTCGGAGTTATACCTGTGCAGGCGATCCTGGTTTCTGAATAACGATTCTAATATACGATGATAAGACCATTACAAGCAGAATGTCGACAATCGCCAAGTATGTGACTATACAAATGAAAAATTGCTATAAACCGACATTGAATTCCAAAGAGATTATTGATCTAAGTGGGAATCCCGTCTCCTTACCAGTCTGCCCTATCTTTTTTTCCGTCTTCAATAATGGCTTCACTATGTAGAATGAAAATTTTTAGTTAACATATTATAAATACAGCATTAATACAATTGTTTTCACTGCGGTTAGATATCAACCACTGAGTCTTTCATGATCATTTCAGCTATAAATTGAGTATATGCCAATGAGATGCGTATACTCCACGCCTGCTGTATATATGCGCGAATAATAGATAAGTTGCAAGACAGACATACCGCATATTCGAAATACAAATACGTAATACGTGTATCCTACCAATAAACACACAACTATAGGCATAAAGCGACCGACGGCAGCGGAGATACTTCCCATGTCGTTTATGAGATGCTTGGGAGATGTTTTTAAAGTAATAGTTAATGAGGCACACACTATTTATTTGTCAATATATAGAAGGTGACAAACTATTGGACGTCAATTGGAAAAACACCAATTTAGCTACTGTTACATATACACTTGTGACACTTGACATTTTTCTTTGAATCAACTTGTGGACGATCTTCTCACCATTAGATGATGTTCTTGACAAGATCATTATAAGCGACAACTACTATTTAGTGCTGGGGCAAATTCTGTAGTGTTACTCACGTAATTTACTAGACCGCCCAATAACGTACTCCACGGGTAAAAGTCGATGTAAATAATACTGTGTTCGTTAAAGATTTTCTACCAACTGACAATGGTCAAGAGGTTATATGATTGTCGCCAGGGAATCGGACAGAATGTCTATACTGAAGAATTATGGATTAATGAAGAAAGCGCGAGAATCAGTGAATGATTGAGAACTTCAATCCAAAAAGGTTTCGACAAAATGTTATATTTATTCGGCACTTCTATGAACGTCTGAGTAATGGATGCTCGGTTCCAGAAAGGTTCAGGTATGGAGAGATGAGACATGATCTTGGATTTTGAATGCCAATAAGTATCTACATGTTCGTTGGAGAGAGGCAAGTACTAGAATTGTGTAATTCACCTGCTGTCAATATTAAAATCCGAAGCCTTCCACTGTCTTTGTTGAAGCGGACTACTCAGCGAACCACTGTTATTCTGATCCGAAAAGGATATCACTTCAAGTAATACAAGTATATTTATACATTAATTAATTACAATAGCTCAATTATCAGTCATGACAATTCATTATAGCTCCCCCCAATAGACATGCCAATTGTGCTAAATAATGAAATCTCAATAAAATAAAATGTTTCATTGTAGGAACTATAAACGAAAACGGACAATTCTCAACGGTTTGGCAAGTTATCAATAAATCTTTGAATGCTAACTTTCTAGCATTCTTTAATATGCCTGTGAATGTTTTCCCAAGTGACAAACAGAATGAAATAACATATCATTTCTTGTTTACCTGACAGAAGAAACAGTGAAGCATCATAAAAATCTGACTATCAGCGTATTAAACAAAGTAAACGGATGTAATATGCTTATTCTCAGCAATCAATGTATTGTGCGATACGCAGGGAAATTTCGCGTTGTCCGATGGTTATATCCAGAAAGACTTTCGATCAGCAGAAGAGCTTGGGCTGAGTGACATCATGAACGGCAAGACAAGTGTTTACCGTTCGGTCAGCACGCTTATTTTCTCCGGTCGTTTCTTGTGTGAGAAAGCTTTATTTCCTTGGAAGTGGCCTCGAATGCAAGTGAATCACGATCACTTCCGTTGTTTGTACAGAGTTAAAGCAGAACATATCTGTGCTTGTTGTAACAAGCTATTGAATTTTGTAAAGTATTTTTTTACTAGGGACGGTAACTGTATAATATACACATGGAGCTATTAATTAAATGCAAATAATAGCGTCACTTCCTCATGCCTATTCGATGCTATTAGTCGTGAGGCCATATGTGACGCGTTGAATCAACGCGTTGCATGATGCTAAACGTATAGGGAGAAATCCCGATTTTTAAGATAGAAAGGACTAGAGTAAATAGATGCAAATAATCTCTTCTAATTTGAGAATGTTTGCATGGGTAATCAAAATGAGCAGTGCATAATCTTTACAATAATATATGCAAACTACTCTACAAAAGTTTAATGAATAACATCGATCATATTGATATTGCCGAAAGTGAAACAACACAGAACGTGGCATGGGAAATGAGGCTAAATAAAAATAAATATAATTTAAAACGAAGAGATAATCTAATGTGTAGTATACAGGAAGGCGGGTTGAATATTAACAGATTAAGAACAGTATTAGTTGTTTGTTTGTTGGTTGGTTTTTTTTTTTTTTAAAAAAAAAAAAAGTCAGCTAACAGTGACAAACATTAAACCAGTAAGACTAAAATCTAAAAGGAATATTAAGATAAATACGAAATTTGCCATCCCGCGGCATACCTATATAAATTTAAGATAAATTGTATATAATGTTTTTTTATAATCGATGATATTAATACAAAGTCCATTCCGCAACAAAAACCCCGGATAATAAATCAAAACTTATTCCATCACGAAACAAATGACCTCAAGCCATCTCATAATCGAAACATATCTTCAGATCTTCATCCAGTGTCTATTAGCATGTTCATCCACTTCTCATTATAGTCTCCTTTTTTACAACTTGTTAATAAATTAATGTCTTCCTCCTTTCTTCTTCCGTCCTTTCTTCGCATTGCTAGTGCTTGCTGTTTTCATGAATCTCTTCTTTTGCTCATCTATTGCCATCAAATATCTCTCATATTCTTCCATCTCCTTCCGTACTAGCTTAGCAATTTTGAACCCCTCCTTGTGCTTCATTAAATAATAATACTGCACCGCTTTCTTGATGGATGTACCGCATTCAGAACCAATAGCGCCAAAATCTTTACCGTGCCGGAGATACATGGCTAAATAATGCTTTCGCTGTGCGGACGGCCACAAAGAGAGCGTGTCGCTTCGCAATTGGGTCGGATATGAAGAATTCTTCGACCCACTGACTCCAGATAGCTCGCCTATATCAACCTCGTTCCATGCACGAGGATAAGTTATGGCTAATGGAGGCGCTGGAGCAGCACGTTGCTCATAATAGTTCCTTATCCTCTCATCGTCATCCTGGACAGTGGCATCTTTACCCCTTGTGCGCATTGCTGGACCAGTTGATGGTCTTCCAATTATTTCTTCTTTGGATAATCGACGATGTTTGGGTATTCGCGCTGAACGACGAGGTGTTGTGGAGACAGAAGGTGAGGGTGAGGGTGTGCGAACAGGCGTTGAGCAGGCAGGTGACGCGGGCAACTGAGTGCTGGAAAGGATAGATTTCGATATATGCTCGTTTATGAACAAGGAAGTCGTATCTTCATCACCTGAGCTGTATGAAGCAGGACTGGAATAAAAGTCTAGAGGCGATAATGGAGCATGGTCTATTACGCGTGAGGATACTCGCGTAGGTTTTGATGTATTGTCCTGTTTTATTTCTACTTGTGCCATTTCTGCTTGTGTTAGTGAAGAGAAGTCGCGTCTACATAAAGGTAGTTGTAGGGTTGGAGAAAGTACAGGCGGTAACGCGCTGCCAGGGATTATAGTATGTACATGTAGACTGGGAAGTGGCGTTAAGTGTGATGAGGCCATTCCTAGCGCGTATATAGGTTCAGAATAGTAATAAGCTTTAATACCTAAATGTTATTCAAGCTTCTTTGTGTATGTTCTCATATGCCACACTTTAAAGTGTTCCGGTGGAATACTATGTGTGTCTCTCCTAAACGCAGTTAATTAAGTTACTTAGTTATACAGATTTATCTAACAATGTCTCTATGTGCAATAAGAAAACTTTAGTTCTCCGTAGAGATCTAGGGATGATGGGTAAAGAACGATAGTCGGTATATTGTGTAAACGAATGTTTGAGAGGTTGTCTACGCCTTATTGACACTAATATGTTAGCGGCGTGGTTGTGGACGTTAGGGAATAAATACAAGAACGGCAGTAGTAGAAGTTGGCAAAGAGACGCGAAAAATGGTGTGCTTTTGTTCGGGGATAATATGTCCAGTGTTAAGGCGGAGTTTAGAATAGATGTAAACGGGGTTTCTAAAATGCTTGGCTAGTATAAATAAATCAGAAATTCAATCACAAGATCTCCAATGAGTATGGTGGATTTTGGTGGACGTTTCACCCACCTCGGGTGATGTTTCGGGGGCTGAAGACAAGGAGTTTGGAGTCGAGGAAGGGGTAAGCAGTAACGGAATACTATTCGCAAACAGAACCTTTAAGCATAAGAGACTGCTATAAGTGTGCTAATGAAGATGCTCTGCAGTAAACGACTATAAATATATGTTATCACATTTATCGCGATGTTATATTCGATGACGTGTGAGTTTAGGCCGCTTACAAATCATTATTCGGTCATTTATGGAGACGCAGCATGGCGCTGAGAGCGCGTAAGAAGACAAAGGGTGGAGGATTATGAATGAACCATGACTTTACAATATAAATGAAAAAGGTTAGATTCCAGTGTGCATATAGTGAGAACAAATGTTAGATATAGCAATAAATATCGTTATAAACGGAATGTTGGTTGGACATGTTGAGACAGTTTGCGCATTTGCTTTCGACAATGCTAAGAGTCTTGACTTGGCCATTACTGCGACAACACGATAAAAAGCACAACGTATTGATGCGCGCCCAATGAATGATCATAAATGGAGGCTGCGCAACCGCGTCGCTGGAATTGATACACAACCTGCAGGTCGATGTTCGTTTTTTTTTTTTTAGTAAAAGGGGAAGAAACTCAACGCATTTCTTATTCCTTTGTATCGGTTAGTCGAAACAAAGCGACACTGTCTTCGGTATTTGCAAAACAACAACGAAAGAATATAACGGGAGAACATAACAAAGGTCGATTAAACAGACTAATTTAGTAAAGAATGGACGCAAGCAGTAAGAAATACCCTCACGACTTTTCAGAGAACGAGTAGCGAATGGTATCAACTTTAGTAATATGCATAATGTTAACAAATGCATCATGTTATTGTGTTCGAATGACAATTATTATAAATCTATAAATGATACAATAATAACAATCATAGTGGTTTTACAATAACGCAGTAGCATATTTTCAATTATTAATATAGCCACCCTTCTTTCCTTATTGTTGTTTCTAATTATTTATAATATATTATTACTGTGATGGTTACGGTTATAATTAGGATTCTGCCAATTATTTGGACTATTTTTTGACCAAATTAGGCCAATTTCCAGCAGTTACGTTCATTGGTTGAACGAGCAAGAGAATGCCCTTAATAATATCTACCCTTGTCGGTTGATGACGAACACATTGTCACCGTTTGTGGAATGCATCCCGACAAGCCACGTACAACAATTCCATCTCATGTTTCACAATGCACGATCTAAAATATCTAATAGTTCGACGAATAGTTTTATGGGTATGGGAGTGATAAAAGTGATCATAAGATGACCAGCCAACGAAAATAAGGTCAGAGAGTGAGTAGGTTGGTTTCTTTTTGTAAGTAGCAAACAGCCGTGCTCATCCTATCTTACGTGATTGCATGTACAATATCAATATGAGGATAGCCGGTACGTTAGAGTAATCGGTGATAAAGTTTTTTTTTAATGTCATTTTACTCTGATGGATGACAATGGAACTTTTGTATGTGTGTAGTGTATGCCAAATGCTGGCTATGTAGCGTGTCATCTTGGAGAGAATTCCCAAACCGATATCTCAACCAAAATTCAGAGTAAAATTTTAATATTCTAAAATATCGTCGAAGGTTTTGAATTGTATCGTAAACTGTGTGATATGCTGTGATCATGAAAATGGGAATATTCGGAAGTGATGACAATGGAAAGCGTAACATCCAAATACTAATGATACGAAACAGATGTAGATATACAAGATTGTGTATACAAGTGTGTTACAGTAATTACTTTAGATGCATTATCCACACATCAATTGATGTTATTCGTCCGTTCTTGTATCACGTGTTTATGTTCGGTTTGTCCTACGGAACGGGTTCGGCTATTTTCATTTTTGCATGTATCATATGCCTATTGTTAGACAGCACAGAGACACAGCCGAGCGGTTAGCTCCACTGGATTCTCTCCGTCCAATGGCAAAATCGAATGCGTATATTAACAACCCCAATAATTGCTACCACATTGTCCATCGACCAGTAACTCCATCCTCTTTTGCCATTAGCTCGAACGCTATACACTGGATTCACATAAATAGTTATCACAATAAATTCTCTGTTTCATTGACCCCTAAAATTAGCCCCCTCCCCCAACTCCCCAACAGCATTCAGTTAACTTGCTAAACGACCAAACAATATTTATTAGCCCATAATATTGTATAAATTACTATGATCCTTTTAGAAGAAATATATAAATCTCTACATTTATTTGTAACCATTATCATTCTCCCAATTTCTGTTATCTGACTGCTACTATTATCGTTCATCATATACATTACCGTCACTTTATGAATGGTATGACTTCACACAAAAAATTTGCTCCAATATGAAATCAAGAAAGAATATCCCGAATGAATTTTCCTTGGAATATGTCAATAAATCCCACATTGAATCTTTCGAGAGAGCGCTTGCATTCAATCCGGACACTGATCCTAATGAGCATATCGTTGCTGCCACCGAATTACTCCCATTTAGACAACCTGCACCCTCGACAGTAGAGGGAATAACGTATCGGTTGTTTAGGTTTCCATTGATGGTCAGTTCTGTCAATTACTTGAGTGAACTTTGATCCCGAACTTTAATGAATTCACACCACTGTTCATTAGATCATCGCCTTTGCATATATACTTGTTGAAGTTATTCTTTACCTCATTGTGAGAGCAATTGTTGCATCATGGGAATATATTGTTACGTAGTAAGTAATACCTGACAGATTCTCTTTACATCCAATAAGTATTGTTGTCCCAATTACTGACTTTTATTTATCCTCAGTCTACATGGAAGAGGAACCAATCTCACAAATAGTCTCAGGGAAGCAAGAACGTATAAGGAATGGGTTGATACAGCATTAAAACTGGATGCATGCTACGGCTATGACAAATGGAAACAAGAAACTCCATTCCGATATTATGACTACAATCTATTGCAGAAAGTGGAAAGGGATCTCAGAGAATTTAGAGAAGGCAAAATGGCTGATCCATATGCATTGAAAAATTTGTTACTGCACTCGGTTAAAGGAAATTTCGCGGGAGTAGAGAATACAAGACTATACAGTCATACTTATTATGGTACCAAGAGACTAGTAGATTCGTATATTGATGAAGGTCCGTACCTATAAAAGTACATGCATCTAATAAGCGTCAGGAGATTTATTTGATGATTTGGATGGTGATCCTTTATGCCATACCATGAGTTTGTAACATTCTTGATTTCTTTTTTTTTTTTTTTTTGTATTCTATAGTGACAGAATCTCTCGACCATTTGCGCACATCCTCCCTTATCTCGCACAGGGACAAACATCGGCTATTTAAACTAGCCTGCAAGAACTATGGCCGTACTGCCCTCTGTCTGAGCGGGGGAGCCAGCTTCGGTTATTATCACATCGGTGTAGTGCGCGCACTCTATGATGCTGGTCTGCTCCCGTCAGTTATCACGGGTACCAGTTCTGGCGGTCTTATAGCCGCATTAACATGTACCCATACTAACGAAGAATTAGAGCAAGTGCTACGACCAGAAATCTGTTCCCGCCTCAATGCTTGTGGGGATTCGATAGACATGTGGCTGAAGAGATTCTGGAAAACCGGCGCTAGATTCAGTGCTGTTGATTGGGCACGCAAAGTTCAATGGATTACGAAAGGAAGCTTGACTTTTCGAGAAGCTTACGAGAGAACAGGAAGGATACTCAATATTTCTGTTATCCCGTATGATACGCATTCTCCTCCTAAACTTCTTAATTATATTACGGCGCCTGACTGTGTGATATGGTCAGCTGGTAAGTGATTTGACGTAAGTCATCGTGAACTACCTACATAATACTAATTGCTCGTTGATACAGTGATTGCCAGCGCCGCAGTACCAGGCATACTGAATCCGGTTGCCCTTATGCAAAAAACAGCGGATGGATCACTGGTGCCTTATAATTATGGACACAAATGGAAAGATGGCTCGCTACGCACGGATATTCCATTGCAGTCTCTCTACTCTCTGTTTAACGTCAAGTTTACCATAGTATCACAAGTCAATCCTCATATTCATATATTTTTTTATGGGCCCCGTGGCTCAGTCGGTCGTCCAGTTGCTCATCGTAAAGGACGTGGATGGCGAGGGGGTTTCCTATTATCTAGTTTTGAGCAGATGCTCAAATTAGACCTAAGCAAATGGTTGAAAGTGATCAGAGATCTAGAATTGATGCCACCTGTAGCCGATCAGGATTGGAGCTCTGTCTGGCTACAACGATTTGACGGTAATATCACCATTCTTCCCAAAATAACAGTCTGGGACTATTATTATATACTATGTGATCCCGATTACCGTCGTCTATCCCACATGATTACATATGGTCAACGAGCAGCATGGCCAACATTGAAAATGATATCCAATAGGTTAAAAATCGAGTGTGCTATCGAGAAGGGACGCCGAACAGTCAAGCGTGAGAGATACCGGTTACATCGACGAGTAGAATGTAATCATCCTCATCACGAAGACACGGAAAATACTTCTGAATCAGTAGATTCATCTGTTGGTGGAAATAGCGGATCAAGCGATTCAGGTGATAGAAATGAGGGAAATGATGTTGGAGTTGAGTATGCAAAGAGATGGCGAGAACATAGCGGGCTAATGAGGAAGAAAGAACATCGTTCGTATTCCATCCCGTCGCAATCCGATAGTGATAGTTTTTGAGCGAGCAGGATGAAGCATAGTGAGCTTATGTGTGTTAAAGTTAGAGCCAACTCGTCATCGTCAGTATTATAGCAGAGTTTTATTTATGATCATTTCCTCACAATTGTAAATTTTAGAAACATTAAAAATAAACGACACTATTAACAAATATTATTTAACAGTCGTCATTAATCTAGGGTTAATGTCCGATGATGACGTATTTGATTATTTTATGTTTTTATTATTATCATGGCTATGGTTACTTATGTTTGTCGCTTTCAGCAAGTCGAGTACATAAATTTAAGCACTGTAAGCGAAGTCTCTTGTGTATATTTTGCCAGGTGAACGCAAATACGGCAACTTGGCGAACAACAACTCACTACAAACTTTCAATACTACTGCTTATATGGGCGAGAAAGAGACTTCTAGCTATTGTGTGTACGTCAAACATTATCATTATAATCACTCATTATAATGTTTTTTGGTGCTTTTTCGTTCTGATAATGCAAGTATCCACAATAAACAATTGATGTTAGAAACATCAGTATAGTAATGGCAGAGCGGACGCTATTATTCCGTAACAGCGAATAGATACTTGTATTCGAAGAGCGTAACGAAAAAGGACGGTGACAAAACCTTGCATCCAAGCCTAAAAGATACTTTATTGACCGTAAAATTTTTAGTAGACAATTCTATCACCATTTTTTATGACTAGTTTACACTTATTCTTCATAGACTGCACTAAATTACAGTCGGACCTCTTTATAATCACCAAGTCCTCAAAGTGGTGATTGTATAGAGGTGTGACTGTAATTATAAAACCTCTATACAATCACCACCATAATTAAAATAATGTGCAGTGATTATATAGAGGATTTTATGTTTGTATTATAAATGGTATAATAATAACAATAGAATAGTAATAGTAATTATAAAATTCATTTATTGTTTACTAATCATTATTTCATTAATTACTATTTAAAACAGCATAATTATGACAATAAATTTCAACTAAAAAAATTGGTTATTTGAACTTGCTTTTTAGTTTGCATTTTAAGTTCATGAAGTGTTTTAAGATACTTTTTAAAAACGCGTACATCTTCTTTCTTAAATTCATCCATTTCTTGCTGCTCAAAGAAAGTCACCCAAGTTTGTAAAGATTTTGTTGCATTATCTAAAGAAACTAATACCAGTTCATCTTCAGAATCATCTGAATTATTGTTTTCTTCATTCATTTCCTCTTGAATCAATTTAATGATATCATTTTCATTTAAAACATCTTCAGTTAGTATTTCTTCTTCTAAATCACAAAAATCATTTGAAGCATCTGCCAAGGAAACAGCAAGATGGTTGTCAGATGCAACACTTAAGTCTTCAATAAGTTGATTAGTATCTGCCACTTCATTATCTAAAATATCTTGCTGAATTTGCATCACATTGGTTATATCATTGTCACTGGTAGAGGGTAATATTCCAGTTTTAACCCAACAATTAAAGATTGTATCACTGCTTACATTCCCCATGCATCTGCCAGATAATCAACAGTTTCCTTGATATTTACATTTTCTTTATTTATATCCTTACCTTCTTCAAAAAGTTTTAAAACGGGTCGGCAATAGTTTCGTTTATAATAGGCTTTAAAATTCTTGATAACTCCTGCATCAAGTGGCTGAAGATGACTCGTGGTATTAGGAGGTAGAAAAACTGAGTTAGATTAAGTTCAGTATCACCATTACCTTGTTGAGAATTGATGTGTGACGGCGCATTGTCAACCAAGAGCAAAATTTTTTTATCTTGCGCTCTAAAATATTTGTCCAAATGCTGAAGTATTTCTCCAAAAATTGATGAATTCATCCATGCTTTGGGATTTGCACGATAATTAATTCGTGAAAAAGATCTCGGACGTTTCGCATTACCAATTACCCATAAGTTCATCAGTTCCTGTCGCATTGGCACCAAGAAGAACTGTTATTCTGGTTTTATCTTTCTTCTGGCCAAGAACAGGTTTGCTTGAAAGTGTTTGATTCGGTGGCATTCGGTAAAAAAGACCTGTTTCATCGATATTATAAATTTGATCAAGGGTAAACCGGCTCAAAAGTCTACTTTCATTTGGGTTTTTCATTGCTCGTTTTGAATTTCTCATTGTTTTAATTTGTTGTCGGTATCACTGTCATCATTGTTTCCGCCACCACAGTTATTGGCAGATGAGCAGTTTATAATAAGAGGTAAAGCTGATTATTGTAGCGTTGACGCGATTGCTCATTACAGTTACGATTGGGCACAAAACGTTCACGTGCCCCATTCTGATCAACAGGTAAGTAAGATTTATTATCTTAGTCCGCGTAAAGTGCATTTGTTTGGTATTCAAAGATGAAGCGGTAGCCAAGAAATCTACAAATTTAATGGTGCTGAAGAAGTAATTCAGCAAGAACACTTGCGACAAAAATGCTATCGCTATGTGAACTGGAGCATTTAAATCACCTTCTAGGAAACAGGGTCTAGACATCTGCGAAATCTAAGCGGTAACGCAATACTAGCTTGCAACATTAGCAATTTATATCCTTCCCCGTCCGCCAAGTGAATCCAGAGTCGTCTTGAGAATATGTTTCTTTTAAACAAATCAAAAATCACAAACCCACCATTATTCCCCTTGTACGCACAAGCACAAATATATAACCTCTACACACAATTTACATTATTAACGACCAAACTACTAATCTTTATTGGCAAGTAAACCAATGACGCAATTTTGTACGTTCTTCTGTAAGAGATTCCAATGGGGGCACTTCCTGCTTCTCCGTGTGCATAATATCTTTGAATGTTGTTGCGTTTTTTTGAATTTCTCAAGCCAGCCATTAGAAAACGTCAATTCACCTTCCTGTATGTTAAATGCTTGAGCGAAAACCCTAGCCTTTTCTTTAATTAACAAATCGGTTAAGGTAACACCTCCTGCTGTTACATTTTCTACCCATAAACTCATAGCATGATTTAATAATGGAAACTTAGCCTCTCTGTGTCTAAGTTGTTAGAAAGTTCATAAGATGTAATGAAGTTTCAAAGTGTTATTAAAAAAACAACTGCGTACCTAAATGTTTTAGTCGAAACTTCAGCGCTAACTACGGCCTTCCACTTGTCTTTTTCTTTCGGTCAATCTTCATACTAAGGTTTCTTTCATTAAAATACTGAGAAATTTCATGGTGTTTTTTATTTTTATTTGTTTCCGCCCATTCGCATATTTGACGCATAATGTCGTCGCTAATAGCTGAACAGTGTTGTTTGGGCTGAGATAACTAAAAAGAACAATTGTATATAGAGAAAATGAGGATTTTATATGAGTTTAATTTGAAGATAAGTAGTAGGAAAATGATGATAATCCCTTATAAGATTAATTTTATAACCAATCAGGTTTCATTAATATGCGGCCAATCAAAAATTAGTGATTATAGAGAGGTCAATTACTAATAATAATAATACAGTCCTACCTCAGTTATATCCCCCCCCCCCCCCATTTGTATCCCAACCTCGGTTATATCCCAGCTTTGATGCTAGACGGATTTCCCTTATTTTAATTCCATATAAATCTACCTCAGTTATATCCCTATCCCCGATTTTTCCCAATCCTATAGTAATCCATTATGAACGTGACCTCGTTTATATCCCCTTAATTATATTAAGCAAATTTATTAACCATATATGTATCATTGTATTACACAATAAATCATGTCATCTCTATATATGAATATTTGTGTTAGAATATGTCGATTATTTGCTTCATTTGGTTAGTCACAATTCTCGATACAGTAAA